GGAGGGAAATCATGATAGATAGCAGTGGAGAATCCAAGAGATTTTGATACAATTTCTGTACAAAATGTATAGAGACCACCCCATTGGGCCCTAAAGGGATGGTCAGCTAGGCTGAATGTTTCTTGTGGGAGCAGATAGTCTTTGCAAACATAGGACTGGAAGGCAAGAGTCAATGTATATGTTTGCTGAGAGGGACATTTTTCCTTCTAGAAACTCTTGGGATCTGAGTCAAGATTCAAGTTCAAAGCAAAGAAATCCTCAAAGTACATGTCCTTTAAAAGCCATATACAGAGGATCCTAGACTACCAAATGTCACTGTAATACTGTTGACATTTTATCCTTTGTGGAACACCTTCACATTCCTGATCCAGAGCCAGCACAGTCTGATGAGCAAGTCAGAGGAGGGACAGGCTCCCTACTTTATAGACAAGGAAGTAGAAGAGGAGGTGGGGAAGCCTGACCTCTGAAGTCATAAACCACAGATTTAAATTTTGTTTCTTGGTCTTATGACTTTATCTGTGTCCTTCTGACAGTTTTACTTAACTTTGCTCAATTTTCATAGAATCCTAATATATTTCTTGCAGTGTACAGGAGTAATTTGGAAAAAGCTGCAAATCATCTCCATTTCTTTGGTTTCCTAGTGAATGAAGAGACAATATCTCATTTTTTATATTTCCTGACTTGTCTTTATTAAGGCTCCTTGGTGTCCCCTGAACTTTGAATGCTTGGGTGTACTGATCTTAGACTGGAGAAGTGACAAACTAAAAAGAAAAACAACTGAGTCAATATTCAATGTGGCTGTTACATGAGCATGTGAATACAAAATGGGTTATAAGTTGAAATCATGTAGAAAGGACCATAAAGGTCTTAGAAATAAATAGGAAGGCTTGCTTCCTTGAAAAAATAAAAACAGTGTGCTTAAGTGAAAACATACATAAAAGCACAAAGAACTTACAAGCAAAAATACAGATAGACCTGGATATAAATCTCAGTTCTTTTATTTACTGATTTTTTTTTTTTTAAGATTTATTTATTTAATCATACGGAACTGGGGCACAGGCCAGAGATGCGGAGGGTGAGAGGATTCACCAGAGACACAGCGGGGAGCAGAACAGACAGATCGACGAAGTACACTGCTGAAGGGAGCAGTGGGCGGGCCAGGAGAGGTCTGCCGCGCTGCCATGTGGATCTCCTCTGGGGCAGGCGGGAATCGAACTCATGTGGAAGTGGCTTTAGCTTCTCAGTGTTGTGCTTTAACGCGCCGCGCCACCAGGGAGGGCCTATTTACTGTTTTAACTAAAATAGGACAACTAAGCTTTCTGAATCTGTTTGCTTACTTTAAAATGGGAGTCCTAATGCCTACCTCAAAGTTGTTGTATGGATTAATCAGATACTATATGTGCACATTTTTAGCATATCACTGTCTAATATAGTAACCTAATGGTATTACATGGAGAGACTATTTAGCTACATATGAAATTTTCCATCTGTTGTAAAATGCAAGGAACTTGAAGGAGTTACACAAGAACTTAGAATGAGGAAGCTATATCTTTAATGATTACACCTATATGTACAATAGTAGGAAATTAAGAAAATAAATGAACAAACAAAGCCAAAATAAATGAGTGGCACTGAAAAATGAAATGTGGCTATCAGAAGTAAAGAGGGTAGAGGAAGGAGCAAGGGTGGAGGGCATACAATAGATAGTCTTTTTTGCGTTTTTTCTGTTTGATACCTAATATGCAACATGAGAAATATAAAGTATTTTTTTAATAAAAAACAAGAAAGAAAAAATAAGTGTTTAATAAATATTGGTAATTCTGTTGCAAGAAGACAAGGAGGAAATGGTTTACGACAGTGGACTTCTGAGTACAATAACCTGTGCTATTCTAAACTGACTCTGTTTAACATGGCCATATCCTGAAGCACCTTTATTTTCCAAAACAAGCTCACTAGTGAAATAAAAGTTCTTAAAAAAAAAGTTTTTCTCTAAAGAGCTTTTCCTGAATCCCAATCTTTTGATTTTCCTAAATTCCATCATACGCTTCCTGAAACTGCTTATCACTGTATATCAAGCAATATGTCAAACATTTACTGAGCATCTTCTGTGAGCTAGAGCCTGAGAAAGGAAGATATGGTTGCTATCTTTACAAGAGGTAGATTTTTTATATAAATTAGTCATTATTAAAAAAAGCTGGACTTCTTCCAACTGAAACGTCTCAGTGTTAAGAGAAGCCTAAGAAGTCCCTTATATGGGACATAATGCTACAGTAAACTCCAGGATGACCTTCAGGTCCCTGAATAAGTTTTCACACAAAATTTCTTTATAAAAAAAATTTAGTTTTCTGCTCTAAGAGTCACAGGCTACTATTATAGCATTTGGGGGGGGGGTGATACAGTTTAACCAAAGTATGTTATTTCTCATGAAAGGCAATGCAAATACAAGTAGTAGACACACTAAATAAATAATCATTCTTCATTCCCTTAAAGAGAAAGAAGCTGTAGGTTGAATTTGAATGCAAGAAACAAAATTAGATTGAATTTGCCACAGAAAATAAAATCAGCCTAAAATCCTGAGTAGTAAAGGCAAAACTAGTAGAAATTAAAAAAAACAAAGAAACCGTACTGTAAAATCTTGGAAAACTGTTATAACTGATGTGTAATACCTCTACATCTTTGAAAGGAAAAATTCTAAGGGATAAAAATGAAGGCCAAGTTCCATGCAAAGTGAATTCAATTCTTGATCAAAAGAAAGAGGACATAAAGAATGGGAATGTCACCTGAAATACACTCTAATTGAAATTAGGCAAGTAGTTTAAAAGACAGTAACCTCAACTGAAAATTCTAAATGAAACTGATAAAAATAGAACTTACAAAGTTGAATCTTCTAGAGAAAAGAACTGATACAACTTAATGTATACCTTTAGATATTTATATGTGTGTGCATATATATATATGCTACACTTGTATGTACAATATTATTCTTTTATTAAAAAAGTAGAGCAATACATGTACAATTAATTTTTTCATTTTTTTTTACCTTGGACATTTATAAATGCCAGTAATTAGACTTTATCTTGTTATTTGTAATGACTGCACAATATGGAAGTATGGCTCTAAAAATTTAATTAAACAATTTCTTACTGATATCTTGCTTTTTCCCAAAGTTTCATTATTTTAAACAATGCTGCAGTAGAGACTGCTACAATACATGTCTAAATTCCTAGAATGATAATTATTGGATCAAGAACAATAGAGATATTGTCAAATAAGTGACTTGTTTTCTGAATACAATTTTTGAAGAAAAAAACCAGTAATCATTTTTCACAAAGTACTTTACTTGTATGCAAAGTGGAAGTGAAGAATGAAATTGTAGTCAATCCAACAATAAACAAGAAAGAAAATAAACATGCTACAGAAAAACTATAAGATGGCAGAAGTAAAAATATAAAAGAAATGGCATAAATATGAAGTACACATTTCCATTAAAAGGTAATCTCAGATTGGATTAAAAGTAAAAACAGAAAAAGGAAGCAGGCATGGTAGTAATGTTGGTTATTACTAATTAGCAGAAAAGGAGTTAACTGCTATTTTTCATGCACTATGGTGGCATCACAGGTATGTTTTTTACAATACTATCTCTTCGAGATGCACATGGGAGTATCTACAGATTAATGGTATGATGGGTTTGTTTTCAACCTAAAGGGTGTGTGAGTGGGGGGGTGAAGTTAAGGTGAGTGAAGTAAGAGCTCACGCAAGGCCATATAATGATGCTGCTGAGGCTAGGACACACACAACTTTACTATATTATCTGCTGTACTTCTGTAGGTGTTTGAAACTAAAATAATTTTTTAACGAATTTAAATTTAAAAGCAATAAATGAAGAAACAGTGACCAAAAACTATGAAGTAACATGCACAAAAGCAAGTCTTTATAAAACAAAACTTTATAAAACAAAAAGTCTTTATTAAAAAAAAGCACAAGAAAGAACTGACAAGTCCACACTTCGGGGAAATCGTTAAGATTTGTTAGTAAGGATCAAAGAGAACAGAAATAGTCAACACTGGTGATTCAATTATACAGTTAGCAAGTTATACACTTACTCGCACTCACACACAGCACACCCACATTTGTGTCCAACAGAGACTATGCATTCTTTATAAACACTTGAGAAACATCCCCAAATTGGTCACAAATTAAGTTACTTTATCTGCTCAGGTATCAATAACTGTCCTATAATTAGAACAAATTCAAGTGATACTCTCAAAAAAAAATTGAAAAAAGAAGCATTTATACTGTATTTGGTTGTAGTAGGTTTTTTAAACATCCTATCACACTAATTTTCACAAAAACCAATGCAGCTGGTATGCAGTGAGGTGGGAGAGATTCTGTCATTTGTCCCTGGTGGCCAAATGAGCAGGGTCTGTCCTGTCCTCATTCGGGAAACCTGCTCACCGAGCTGAGCACTCTGCCCACGGAGTTCACTGAAGGAGATTCTCCATCACCACAGTCGTGTTTTCAATTTCTTCTCCCAACAGAACACTTGTGACTTTGATGTTTAAAAATTAGATCTTGGTGGAACATAAATGTGAATGTTCATAAAAGCAAAATTTTCTCTGTGTCCTTCTGACACAGAGTTTTACTGAAAATCATTCCTCTCTTAAGGCTTTTCCATTTTATCTATAGAAATTTTATGAAACATTGTGTGTGTGTATGTGTGTATTTTAAACATGGTGCAGTTGTTTTAAATCCTGAGAGTTTGATTTTACGAGGAAACAGGTTTATTTCCCTATGTCTAATGTGGGGGTTAAATAAACAACAAGCTTCGCTCAACCACTGATACTTTCTTCATGCCACCAGACGTTGCTTCTACGGCTTAGAGGAAGATACACTTTTCTAAATGCTTATCAGATCTAGGTAGCACTTCTCCCAGCGGGACCAAGTCTGCTAGGAGTAACCTGGAAAATTCTCTTCATGCAAAGACAAAAGACTCTACTTACCCAATTCGTATTTTCAGCATGCCCATAAAGAGCTCGGGGTTGTTGGATATGATCCAGCCAATGTGGATGACCAGTTCTTGCTGAATGACGGCCTCCCTCTCATCGTGGGTGTTACACTTATAATAGATGATGTTCTTGATCACTCTTGGAGACAGAGGATTAGAGATAACCTCTTCTTCATGCCCAAAGGCACCCAGAGTTACCTAGAAGTGACAGAATTTTATTGTAGAAAATTTCTAGCTATTAAAAGATAAAATAAAAAAAAATCAAGGCTCAAGATGACTGGCAGGCTGAAATTACTCCATGTGAGCTAGGGAATTAGGTGGAATAACTGTTCTTGCTGTTTATTAAAATTGCTTTCAAAGCACGACTCCCGCTGGAGTTCATGATGGCTCACACTCCGGTCTAAAATACAAGGGCAGGTTGAGGGTCCCAGCTAGGGGAGTGGAGGTGAGTGGATAAAAGCAGGGAAGGAATATAAATAACTATTAAAATAAAATTATTCTGACTTTAGTACGAGAAACTCCCCAGAGAAATCAGAATATATTAAATAGCTTTGCTTTACTGCACAGTCTACACGATATAGTATGTGAGAGACATTTTCCACTTCATTTATAATTTCTCATGTGGAACTTTCTGCTCTTTAATCACTCTGTAACCTTTTCAAAGGCAGGTGCATGGTCAGATACTGCAGTGCAGCTCCCACTCTTCCTGGCACAGTGCTAGACACCTCGTGAGCGCTCAGATACCTACCAAGGCGCAGCTGCCAAGAGCCTGGGAGGAGCAAGCACGGAGGGAAATGGCGATGAAAGTTCAAAGCAGAAAGTGTTGCTGAAGTTGGCAAGAGGAATACTCAGGTCTCTCTCCTTCCTGTTTCCTTGGTATTTGCCTTTCAGAAGAGTCTTGTGGCCCCTCCTTTCTTTTTACTACTTCCCCCCAACTCTCTTCCACATACAGCAACAATTATAAGAGTCAGGAGAAAGAAGAGCCTGCCAAAGGGCCCTTTGTGTTTTCAGAGATGCTGGTGAAGAGCAGGACAAGGGCTCTCTTGCCCCAACTTTGTGATGGGAGTGAAAAACTGAGAACTGCCGGTTTACATTTTCCACAAGTGGTGCCAACCAGTTAGTCCAAGTGCAATTACTTTTATCAAAAGATCAGTAAGTAAAGAGGACAATCAGAATTGCCTCTGGAAGCATGACTGATCCACTGTTTCATTCCAGAGAACTTAAGGTTTTCTGGAAAGCTTTGTAGGAACAGCATTACTTCAGTTCTTGGGGTGGCCGGCCTTTCAGAAAGGAGTGAAAGCAAACTTCGAATTGACTAATTCGCAATTCTCTTTTTTGGAAAGAGGTAGATGTAGTTCATGCATGGACCTCACGCACCTTGATGTGCAGCGGTCAGTCTGCAGGCCTAGCTAGCCCCATTTGTAAGTGACTGGTGTGGTCTCAAGTGAACAGCTAGTCTGGGCCATGCACACTGAGGATATGAGGAGCAGAGAGTGCGCACCTCAGGCTGGACATGACCCACCCTAACCTTGGTCTTGCCTACTGCCAGTCATCTCAAAGATCTCTAAAACCTTTCGTACGCTCAGATCAGTAGAATTAGTGATATTTTTAGATATCCAGTAGGAGTCTGAAGTCCAAGGAAGAAAGGCTCCCCAAAGCCCTTTTACTTTCAGAGGAGGCTGAGTCTAGCTAGACTGTGGCAAGGAGGAAAGGCACCGGATAAGTTATGTCATGTGGTTATGAATGTGGCTAAAAATTATTCTTCTTAATATTACATAGAAAGCAGAGAAAATAGCATGTAAAAAGTGAGTTATTATTCTCAGGAGATTTTTATTAGTGCGATCATTTGTTTCATTGTTATTAAAGATTATAGGATAAAATAAATAATTTTTCTAATATCCTAAAGGTTAGATATCTGGATGAGATAATCTCTATTTTAATGAATTAAGAGCCCTTAGATATGAGGACTGGATTGATTCCACTGAAGAGGGTTAAAGTATTTCACATTATTAAATCTTATAAGAGTTAGTTAACTGTCAGGAAAACACAACAAAGCACACGTCTTCCCAAACAAAAGAAAGCAAATACGTTTCATTCCAACCAAATGGTGACTCAGGCAGGTAATTAGAGCTTATGGGAAAAAGAAGAAAAACAAGCAGCCACACCTCAGCACACATTCGTGCACAGGCTCAACGCAACCCCGCTCACCAAGTGCCAATCTAACTCAGGTCCATGTTGGGTGCTTGTGGCAGGTGCTGGACAAGACCTGGGTCCTGGCCTCCAGGGACTCTCAGCCTGCCCTGGCCTAAGAGGCACTTTCAAACGAACTGGGACCCGGGGAAGACTGCAAGAGTCACAGGCCTGTGGTAAGAACCCAGACCAAGAGGGGCCACTGCTAAGTGGAGAAGGCCATGGGAAGGAAGTAACAAAAAAGCATCCTGAGGTGGGGGTGGGGGTGGGGGGAGCCAGTGGGAAATGCGGAAGCAAAGCTGTTCCGCAGGCCAAGGACCTGTGGAAGCAAAGCTGTTCTTTTATTCTTTTTAACTGTGTGCATTTTTTTTTTTTACTGTGTGCAATATTTTTAAAAATTATTTATTTATGCATAGAAGACCTGGGGTACAGGTCAGAGGTACAGGGGGTGAGGAGATACATCAGAGACAGAGAGGGGAACAGAATAGATGGATCTATTGAAATACATGCTGAGGGGAGCAGTGGGGAGACAAGAGAGGTGTGCAGGTCACCTTCCTGGCTGTGGATCAAGCTTGTGCTGCAGTGGCTACTGATAGCTTCACAGTGCTGAGTCTTAACCCCTGTGCCACCTCCCTGGTTCCAAGAAACAAACCATTTCTAAGACGGGGGAGAACCTCATGTGAGGCAGACAGCAGCTGTGCTCTGGACTACCCAACTGCCTTTGCTCACCTCGTCCTGAATCTGCCTGTAGTGCCTGTAGTTATTACTCAGCTTTCCGCAATGGCTTCTTCACGGACCTCAAATTAACACAGAATTGAAAAATCTGAGGCGCAGCAGGAAGGAAGGTCTATTTAGGAACTGTACATCTTTAAGACTAGATTTTGCCTGAGGAAGAAGCCTTTGTAGAAATGGCCTGAGCTGTTATGAATATGCTTGCAAGAGGCCTGTAGCACTGAGGCTTGTCAGGTTTGAAGAAAGGTCCTACCCGGAAACCTTGTCACTGAGACCGAATAAGAGTCTGAAAACAGCCACTTACCTGTTTGCCCTGCACTAACACATTAGTAATGGATGGGGCCAGGCTGTCCACTACTTTATTTAAAAGACTTGCTGCACGGCGTACAACCGACCTGGGGGCAAAGAAGAGAGCAGCCAGACATTGACAGATCTAAAAGATGATGAGTGAATGTGGCTCCTGGTTAAGGGGCTTAAAACTATGCACATTTAGGTCCTTGCACAAGTTTGGAAGGAACACTGGGTGTAAGTAAGTAAACCTCGTTGAAATTTCCAAGAATGTGGGGCCATCCCAAATTGGGGGGGGGTCCCTCATCTTTACCTCTGCCACCAGACTGTCCCCCAAAGCACTATTGGTGCCACTATCAATTTGAAAAGAAAGAAAAGGGAGTCCACCTAGTTATTTGATGTGGAATAAGGTAAGAATGAAGGGGGTAGTTTGATTTTGTATTGACGTGATTTATGATTCAGTGTACCCCGGCACATATCGCCTGTTTCTGCAGCCACGTGAAGTCATGTTTCTTTTGGTACTAGATAATTAAATCCCTGGGTTAGGAAACTCACTTGGTACTCAGTTTTAAGAAGTGAAATACAGCATTTTTTTTTCCCTTGATAAAGTCAGAATGTTGGAGGAAGGAATTCACACTGCTATCCTCTTACATTTCTGAAAAGTCTCAGACTGTGGAGAACAGATTTGTTTTTTAAAGCACAGCACATGCAATAAATAAGACATTTTTTTTTCCTATCAATTCATGTGGACTTTTAGAGAAAAGTACGTAGGTTAAAACTGTTTACTTGTGTATCAGGAAATGCATGGTAGCTGACTTATAGAAAGGATTCATATTCTTTCATCTCAGCATAGATGGACTATAGAAAATTCAATCAATGACTGATAAAGTTAGTGGACAAACACTTCCAACTTTTAGAGAAGCTTTCACTCACACACTATAAGACCAAAAGACATGTTTAACCCTCAGGAATGCAAATAAGCCCACACATTTCAAGCAGCTTGAGCTTCCACATTCTGTGCATGTTACCTGTTTGCCATGTACCAGTAAAGTAGTAATGTGTGGGGCTATAGAGGAAGAAAATTTCTGGGTAAATGCTGCCCCGTAGCGCACCGTCAACCTGGGTGTGTCAGTGGAAAGTCATAAAAGGGAAAATGCATTAAGGAGTTTTTAATCATAATAGCATTCTGAATGTTTGCTAGTTAATGATTTATCTAATATGCAAGTATAATATATAAAGGAAAAATGAATTGGTCTAGCCAAAAATAAGATTATAAACCACATTTGCAACTGACTGACTAAGAAAGCCACATCTACTGACTGCATGCCTGACTGTGCCAAGAACTTGTAGTGAAATTGGAGGTTTAAACATAGGATTGTTATATTATTTCTTCTGGGTTATAATGGTATATTTAGATTAATCATAGAGCTGAAATACTGTTAAGAGATTGTTTTGTCTAATCCCCCTGTTTTAGAGATTAGAAACCTCAGACTCACTGAGATTAAGGGTTTCTTATGACATTTCTTGAGACTTCTGTTTTCTGAATTAGATAATAACGGATCTATAAGTATAAATACTTTCAAAATGTTAGATTCTGCTAGTAAAACTGTTAGAATTGCTTCAAAACATAAAGGGCCATGCATTAAGGCATACCTACCCCATTGTGAATTAAAAATTTTTTATTTTAACTTACCGGAAAGTTTTTCAATCTCTAGAAAGAACTACCTCTGTAGAACATATCGATTACTTTTTACGAAGCACCTACAATCACTGGGATTCATTCAACTTAAGTGGCAAGAAAACTACCTTCTACATTACTTTTGCCTTTCATAATAGAATGCCTTTCCTGAACTCAAAGCAGAATCAGAAGCACCCTGCCGGGGTAGAGGAGGTGGGGGG